GAGGTGACTGCTGCTCTGTCCCAGCCCCAGGGGTGACTGCTGCTCTGTCCCAGCCCCAGGGGTGACTGCTGCTCTGTCCCAGCCCCAGAGGTAACTGCTGCTCTGTCCCAGCTCCAGAGCTGACTGCTGCTCTGTCCCAGCTCCAGAGGTGACTGCTGCTCTGTCCCAGCCCCAGGGGTGACTGCTGCTCTGTCCCACAGCACACAGAGCTGACTGCTGCTCTGTCCCAGCTCCAGAGCTGACTGCTGCTCTGTCCCACAGCACACAGAGCCCACATGGGGACCTGGACGTACCTTCTCCAACTTCCTGCAGTCTCGTTTTCCAGACGAACCCTCTTTATCTTCTGCATTAACTACTCAGAGAGCTGGGCAGGACAGGAAACTGGGGAGGAAGAGGGGAGAAAGATTTCACACAACTGCTGGGTAACAGATCTTCCATAGGTCACATTTCCAGCTGAGCAGGGAGGCACAAATAAATCCTTGGGTTTCATTGCTTGGTCCAAATCTGTTCTGTCAGCACAGCCTGGATTTGAACAGCCCTGATAAATCTGAGAGCCTTCATCTGAACAACGAGGCTCAGTGAACTCTGTGGTGTGCCTCGCTCTTTCCCAGAAAATTCTTCTTAAAATCCAAGAATCTTGAGTACTGAACCCTTCTGCCACCCCCTTCCCAAAATCCTGGAATTCTTTCAAGTGTCAGGTACTAAAAACTGACAAAACAGAGGTCTGGTCCATACACTTGGAGGGAAGAGCCAAACAAAGGGCACACCATAAGGAGCCAGCCAGAGGGCCACAGTCCCACCTGGGACATAAAAAGCACATTTATCTTCCAAGCCTGAGCACTGCTCCCCTGTGCCTCAGCCTGCTGCCACGAGGAGCCCTGGCTCCCCACAGCAATCTGCTCCCCAGCAGCACAGGAAGGTGCTTCTCTGCCCAAGGTCCTCTCTCCCCAAGTACAAAGGTCTTTAGCTCTGAATCAGACACACTCAAGAACAGCCACCGCCTTCTGTCGAGGTCCTGCCCTCCCCAAACAGCCAAAAACGCACTCACAGGGGACCAGGAGAGACAAAGCATCACAAAGAAACTCCTCGGCTGCAGAGGAGAGCATTGAGGGAGGAAGCAGCTGCATTCAGCAATTTCAGGACAGTTTTTGATGCAGGCACCAAGGGCAGCGGGAGGGATGCTCAGGAATGCTGAGTAACCCGGGCTGATCTCCCAGCTGACCCTGCCTGGAGCAGCGGGTTGGAGCAGAGGCTTCCCGAGGTCCTGCCAGGCTCGGCTGTTCTGTGATTTTAATAATTCTGAGGAACAGCTTAACCCTCGTTGCACCCAGCCCAGATCACGCATTTCACACAAGGAAGGAACAGTAAAATCTTGAACCAGGAAAAAAAAAAAAAGCAACTAAGCAAAATAGACAAAAGAGATCAGGAACCAGCGTGAATCATTCGGGAAGAGCCAAGGGAACACAGGAACAGAGTCACCTACAGGAGCCCTTACAACACGTCCCTGTCGTGGCCGGGAGCTTTAAGATCTCCAAAAATTAAAGCAGCTGAGGGTGGGATAAAGCGGTGGAGATTTCTCCAGAGAGGGACGAGCTCTGGCAAAGGCTGCCAGCAGCCCGTGTCCCTCTGCAGCTCCCGCCGGGAGCTCTGCCCTTGGTGCAGAGGAAAGGCCGGGCTTTGGGATGGCAGGAGAGGGGGATCCCCGGGGATGGAGCATCCTGCGCCCCATCTCCCTCACTGCTGCAGGCGGCTCCGTCCTGGGGAGAACAGCGAGCAGCCCCCAACCCGCCGGGGCTGAGCGGGGCACACGGGACCCCCTCCACGGGCAGGGACAGCCCCCATCACCCCATCCATGGGCACACATGGGAGCAGCGAGTGCGAGCGGCCCCCCGAGGGCCAGGCCAGGCCTGGGGGCGAACCCGGGCGAGCGATCGCCCCGCGGGGCAAGGAGAGGCCGCCCCCATCCCTCGGGGGGACAGAGCGCTCGGACGGGGCAAACCCCGCACCCCGGCCCCTCGGGCACCCGGCACAGAGGGGATGCGGCCAGCGGAGCGCTCCCCGCCCGCCTCAGCCGCCCCTCACGGTGAGGGCCCCACCCAGCCGTGCCCGCACCGGGGCGGGACCCCCCGGCCCCGCCATTCCCCCCTCCCCTCCTCACTCACCGCGGGGCGCGGCGACCTCCCCGTGCCGGGCGGGGGTGGGGGCGGCTCCTGCGCGGGAGGGAGGGCGGGGGAGGGAGGGGGCGGCGGCGGCTCCGTCAGTGCCGCTCCATGTCCCGGGCGCGGGGCAGCCCCGGAAACGGGGGCGCGGGGGCGGCGGCGGCCACGGCGCGACCTCTGACCCGGCGGCGGAAGTGGCGGGAGCGCGCGCACGCGGCGGGAGCGCGCCCGGGCGGCGCGGGAGAAACCACTGCTTCCGGCGGGGGGGAGATGCCTGCGGGAGCACGGAGGCGTTACAAAACCACACAGGGTAGATTAGGGGGTGGAAAAGACCTCTGAGGTCATGGAGTGCAACCTGTGAGCGACAGTCACCTTGGCCTCCAGACCATGGAGCTAAGTCTGTCCTTAAACACCTCCAGGGACGGTGAGTCTGCCGCCTCCCTGGGCAGTCCGTTGCAATGCCTTCGTGGAGAGGGGGATGCACAGAGAGAATGGAGGCTGATACAAGGTAAAAAAGCACGGAGATAAGATTCTCCCTTGCCCTCAGAGATGGGCCCCTCATTCAGCATTTATTGCCGTCGTGGGGCGGCTGTGGAGCCATTCTCATCTCTCATGCTTCACCTCCCGTTTTCAAGGAATGGTCGGGTCCGGCTGGGCACTGTTGCTGAGGGAAGCCGGGAACAGTACTTTCAACGGGCGTTGGTGGTATAGTGGTTAGCATAGCTGCCTTCCAAGCAGTTGACCCGGGTTCGATTCCCGGCCAACGCAAGTTCGCTTTTTTCTCCTCGTGTTATGATTTTTTTTTCCCCGTTTCTCACCGATCCGAACCGAATTGAGATGCACCGGCACGCGGAGCGCCCGCCCGGCTGCGCTTTGCCTGCTTGGGCCGGCGGGAGGCGGGCGCTGCTCAGCGCACGGTGCCCGTTACTTCTCTTCCCAACTCGCAGCGGAGGCCCGAGCAGTCAGGAGACGGCGGGGAAATAAATAAATAAATAAACAAACAAATAAATAAATCCGTATTAAAAAACTAAAAGAACTTTAAGCCCCGCCAAAAAAAAAAATAAACAAGAAAATAAAACAAGCATAATAAGCCACCACGAGGAAGAAAAGAGAAAAAAAGTAGGTGTTTCCGCCCGGGATCGAACCGGGGACCTTTCGCGTGTGAGGCGAACGTGATAACCGCTACACTACGGAAACCCGCCATGAGAAGAGCTGTCGGGTCGCAGCCCATGTTCCCACCATGGCGGCTGAGGGGCCGCGAACCTCCCTCACGGTAACCTCAGCATAAACCTCCTGCAAACCACAAGAAATGCCGCGCGGGGGTCCCAGCGATTATCAGCAGTGATTAACTGCAGTTCCCAGAGACCCGCTGGCCTCAGGAGGAGGCTGAGGTGCGCGGCCCGGGCGCTGTTTCGGGGTCCCCCTCAGAGAGCCCCACAGGGAGGTTCGCGCTGAGGGGGCGCAGGGCGCTGCTGAAGAAATAAAAGTCTCTTCTCCCTAAGGCAGCTGCCACCAGATGTCGGTAGAATAGTGGCGACAGGGAGTGGAGCTCCCTGGAGAGCTTGGCCCAGGGGACAGGGGCTGGAAGAGGAGCAATCCCCAAGGACAGGCCTGTTGGCAATCACAGACTCACAAGATGCCAGCTTGGTTTGTAATGGAAGAACTTTAAATCTCATTTTATTGCACCCCTGGGACACCTTCCACTGTCCCAGGATGCTCCAAATCCCATCCCACATAGTCTTGGACACTCCAGGGATCCAGGGGCAGCCACAGCTGCTCTGGGAATTCCAGAGGAATTCCTGGGAATTCCCAGGCCTCAGCACCCTCACTCAAGAGCTGACAGTCCCAGACAGTTCTGAGTTTGTTCCTCTCATCCTACCGCAATGTTAACAACTTGCTTAATGGCAATCCTTCCCTTTTTGGCAAAACCTCGGCCCTTGGAATCAGGTGGTAACATGAGACTTATGTTTTCATGTTTTGTTTTCTTTGTTTAAGTGTATTTTATGCTCTGCTGGCTGCAGGGAAAAGCTTAGAAGGGAGAAATGAATCATAAACCCAGATGAAAGCGAAAAGAACCTCATTTTTAATAACACTTGCTCTTACTAAAATCTACTTTCAATTTTACAATTTAATTTTACAATTTTGTAGCTGATCTTTTGATCTGGGGCCAAAAGGGCTAGAAAAGAGGTTGATACGTGCCCTTTAACTTCAGGGCTCGCCAGTGCTTTGTTCTGATCTGATTTATGATAAGGATTATAATGTTACATCCAAGTCTGTGACAAACCTGATGTCTCGGGACTTGTTTGCTTTGTGCTGTTGTTAAACATCCTGGAATGAAATCCTTTTAGCCTGCAGCTGGCAGAGAGGATTGGTTACAACCTTTGCACTGAGCATCAGCCGAGCGTGCCGGGGCAGAGCTGATCGATACCTGGGGGCAAGGTCCCCTCCTCGAGCAGGGAAGGGGATCTGTCAGCGACCCGAGAGCATCCACAGAGCTGATCAATACCTGGGGGCAAGGTCCCCTCCTTGAGCAGGGAAGGGGATCTGTCAGCGACCCGAGAGCATCCACAGAGCTGATCAATACCTGGGGGCAAGGTCCCCTCCTCGAGCAGGGAAGGGGATCTGTCAGCGACCCGAGAGCATCCACACAAATTCACTTTGGCTTCTGTTTCCTCCTGCAGGCCTCTCGCAGCCTGGGTGGGGAGAGGAGCCGCAGAACAGGCAGCACCAGCTCCAGGTACCTGTGGGAGGCAGAGGCAGGAGTTCATGAAAGACATCGTGCTGTGGGTGTGAGCTCCATGAAAGGCGTTGTGCTGTGGGTGTGAGCTCCCAAACCCGCCCAGATCCCACAGCAGTGCTTGGTTCTGTGCTGGGAGCCCTGGCACACACTGAGTCGTGAGCTCTGGATGCTCCTTGTTGGCTCTCCATGCCCCTCGTGGAGTCTCCATGCTCCTCATGGGCTCTGGTTGCTCCTCGTGGGCTCTCCATGCTCCTTGTGGGCTCTGGTTGCTCCTTGTGGAGTCTCCATGCCCCTCGTGGGCTCTGGTTGCTCCTCGTGGGCTCTCCATGCTCCTTGTGGGCTCTGGTTGCTCCTCGTGGGCTCTCCATGCCCCTCGTGGGCTCTGCATGCTGTTCATGGGCTCTCCATGTCCCTCGTGGGCTCTCCATGCCCCTCGTGGGCTCTCCATGCTCCTCGTGGGCTCTCCATGCTCCTCGTGGGCTCTCCATGCTCCTTGTGGGCTCTGCATTCTCCTCGTGGGCTCTGCATGCCCCTCGTGGGCTCTGGATGCTCCTTGTGGGCTCTCCATGCCCCTCGTGGGCTCTCCATGCTCCTTGTGGGCTCTGGTTGCTCCTCGTGGGTTCTCCATGCCCCTCGTGGGCTCTGGTTGCTCCTCGTGGGCTCTCCATGCCCCTCGTGGGCTCTCCATGCCCCTCGTGGGCAGGCTGGCTTTGGGGGCCCAGACAAAGCCCCCTCTTCCCGCTGGTTCCTGCTTGCTGGAATGGCTCCCAGGGATGTTCTGCCTTTTCTGACAAGGATCCATTGTCAGGGTCGGCTCAAACTTTGCCCGCAGGACAAAGATCCTGCAGCGCTCTCCCTTCCAGGCCCTGACCTCTGCCATTTCCTCCGCTCCCAGCACGTCCCACCCGTGTGGCCCTGCTGGGTGTGCGAGCCCCCCGTGCCTCACCCCCATGGAGCAGGGGAAAGGACTGGCAGGGCAAAGAGACCCCTGGGGCTCATTTGGAGGTGAGGGCTGGGTGTTCTCTTCTATTCTCACCAGCATCTGCCCCTGTGAGCTCGGAGCCCTTCCCAGCTCTCCCCAGCAGCCATGCTCGGCTGTTTCCCTGACACACCGAGCTGGCTGCACAACCCCATCTCCCCTTTTCCTCCCTGCACTCCCAAAGGCTGCGTGGCTGCTCCAAGAGGGGAGCTGGAAGCACCGTGGAGCAGGAGAGCTGACAATCAGGGCCGGGAGACAACGCTGCCGTGCACAATACCCCCCCAATTAGCCATTCATTTCTCCTGCTCTGAAATGGGGAGCACAGCCCTTGTGCTGGGAGATAAAACAAGAACGGCTTCAATAGCACTGATTTAAATTAGGTCAGGCTGGCTTTTGTGTGGCAGGGACCACACAATAGCTGTCACACGACGGTGGAGGGGAGCAGCATAAAGGAAAAGAGGCCAAGCAAGTGGCACAGATGCTGGAGTTGGTGGGTGCTGGGGGTGCTGCAGGGGCTGACACTCACCCAGCACACAATGCTGAGGCATGAAAGGAGCAGCAGGGGACAGAGAGGTCACACAGTGCCTGGGCAGGAGCTGTGCCACACCACAGCCATGTGCCCCTGAGAAATTGGTCTTTAACCATGATGGGTTATAGGACAGAGCTTTGGACCCCTCAGGCCAAAAAAGATATTGAGGGAAGGGAACAGAGCTGGGGAAGGGTCTGGAGCACCAGGAGCAGCTGAGGGAGCTGAGAGGGCTCAGCCTGTGAAAAGGAGGGACCTTCCTGATTGTTGGGGTGTCCTGGAGTTGGCCTGAGGATCCCTGGGGGACCCTTCCAACTCAGGGTATTCCATGATTCCATGACCTGAGTTACAATCCTCAATGTGTCCAGTTTCTTTCCCCACATAAGTTCCCCAAAAGTCTGCCTGGCCTGAACACCAGGTCTGCTGTGAAATCCTACACTGGCTTCTTTAGGGATGGGTGTGTTTGGGGAAATAGCAGCAACTCCTCAAAATGATCTCTTAACTCATGCCATCAAAGCCATCAGAGTGTCTGCCTTCAGAGAGAGGTCCTGGGGAGAGTTTTCCAGGAGGATGTGAGCACTGGAGCTTCATCCCAGTTCTCTCATTCTCATTAATATCCTCATTGCTGTTTTTGCAGTGGCAATGCAGATGTTCACGTTTATCTGGCCATGGCAGGACACGAGAGCAGCGTGCTCAGAGCTATCAGCAAGAGCCTGATCTTTCCAGCAAGCTGTTGTCATGGTCTAAATGAATTTATCCAGGCAAATCCATATGCAAAGGAAGTGCAGGTAACTTTAAAAATAAGAGTCCACCCCTTCAAGTCTCTCAGAAATAAATCAACAGTCTTTTGTGCCCCAGATTGGATTTTTACAGTTGCTACAGCTGGGGCAAAAATCAGTGATGGAAATTGTGGATGTGGAAAAAGGGAAAGACAATCAGCCACTGAATTCAGTCTTTTTGGAAGGACAGCTTGATGTTCTGTTGCACTTGCAAAAAAGGCTGTAAGCAAAAAGCAGTACTTAAGAAAAATGTTCATTGTATTACTAAGTCATAATTTGCATGCTAAAATTGCAAGTGTTATCATTTCTACTACTGATAGTAAAAAAGTAGGTGAGCTGAAGCACTGAGTGTGCCAGCCAGTGCCAAAAGGAGGAAACTGGGTTAAGCTGAAGTATCAGTTGTTCCTATTCCCCTTCATTTGTTTGTTCACACATGAATAATTTTTTTTTTTTAATACAAGACAACTCAGAGCTACTCTGGGCCATCAGCTCCAATGGCCTACATAATTCCCAGGCTGATTTAAACACCCTGCTTCCCATGGGCACACACAGGCAGCAACAGTCGGTGGCCACCAGCTGATATTGGAAAGACAGGCACTAAAAATAAGTTGTCCTTTTTTACCAGCGAGTGTAATTAAGCAGTGAAATAGTGCCTGTTGTAGGGAGGTGGCCCTGAGGCACGGAGCCAAAACAAGACATGTTGCTAAAAGGTATGTTCCCTTCAGCAGATGGTCAGAGCTCTGATGCAAGAGGCACCCAGTGAAATTATCCACCCAGTTCCTGTAGGAAGCCCGTCTGGAGCAACCATAATAGCCCTAATTTCTCTCCAAATACAAATATATGGTTGCTAGTTTTCACTGCTTTGCAGCTCTACTATTGGGTGTATTTTTAGCTGTTTAGTTGTGAGAACACAACGAAAACAGCAACAGCCCACTTTGGTTTGCATTATGATTTACCTCTGAAGCTCACACTGCAGTGCAGACTGGAGGTGCTCAGGTACCAAAAGCAGTTTAATGTGGTAGCACAAAAATGTGTTGTGTGTCAGGGGAGGGTCAGGTGCAATATTAGGAAAAGGTTCTTTCCCCAGAGGGTGCTCCCAGGGGATGGGCACAGCCTGAGGCTGCCAGAGCTCAGGAGCCTTTGGAACTGCGGTGACCAGAGGCAGAAGAGGAG